CTTCCTCCGTTTTACTTTGCTTGCAATTTCAACCCATCTAATCAATGAAACTCCTGTGGTCTGCAGTCTGGAATTAATAAACATGTGTCCTATCCCTACCATCCGAAAAGTCTCGATGAGGACAAAAAGCCTCCTACGATTAAACGACTGATCTTTACTAACCATGCCCATTGCTTGATAATATCCAGGTAGTTCTTGAGGATCACTGCCTACTTAGTCTGCAACAGTAGTCACATTGTCCGAACGAGTTGACAGTTATTGACATTCAGGTCAACACATAATCCCATCTTTTAGCCAAATGCCAAGCCAGAACAAGTGGCGTGAAAAATCCCCGGACGTAAACTTAGATGATGATGATGATGTTTGAAAAGATTGAACCTCCCGTCTCCAGTTGAGTGGACTATGCATAGCAGATGAGCATCTCTGCGAAACTGGGAGCAGTCTGTCACCAAGCCTTCATCAACTAGTTATATTTTATAGAGACAATGCACCACTCATACAGTTGCAGAGAACGCGTCGACGGCCCAAGACCGGTTTCGGGCAACTCGGGGGTCACCAGGTAGGCGCAATCCCCGAGTTTCCTTCAACCTTGTGGTCTACTTGATCCCAAACCGCACAAAGTTGGCATATCGATTTGGCTTTGACGGGAGATTCACCTGGAACCCAGTTGAATCTCTCGCTTATTGACAAAAACCCTCATATCGACCAAACTGAACCTCGAGGCGGCGTTTGCGCGACGGTCATTCGAAGAAAATCATAACATAAAATATTATCTGCGCCACACGTTAACATCATCTCCGTTTGCGAATGATGACTGGGCGCCACACACGTATAATTTACTCTCACGTGAGATATTGATCGAAGGCTAGGAACAAGGTAATTTTGATGAGCCTTAAACTGAACAAAATGAACGGTGGAATGCTGATACGCTTTCCTCAACTGTATTAGTCGTAGGCATCATCATATTAATTAGCTTAGTATGTAGATAATCAGAGGCTTTCGAAATAGCTTGCCTTACTCTGATAGGTCTTTGCAACTGCAGTCGTGCTGCACTTCTTTCCAGATTTTTAACATCAACAGAGATTCACAGTGACCGCACTGCCAAGCAGTTATAGGATCTCAGTCATACCATCAAGTTTTATTTGTCAACTTAATCGAAGCTGGATGAAGGCTTTACTGGCAGCAGTGGATTCAAAAATGGGGATTCTATTTCAAGAGTTGATTCAACCTAAGCCTGATGCCATGAATCGCAGCCTGATTTCAACAGCGAAATAAAATATCGGCCTAGGACTTCCAAATCCCACCAGTGCGCGTATATTCGGTTCAATAAGGTGTAGGAAACGGGTAAAAAGCCGAGTTAGTGAATTATCATGGAGCTTAGCACTTGACGAACACAAATGAAGGCCTCAAAATTTCCCGGCTGTTCACACTTACATCAATCTACCCACGAATCGCGCGGCTAAATGGGTTCGACTTTAAGGTAAGTAGAGAACATACCATCCCAATATGTGCTTACGTCTAGAATAATTTTCTAAACGAAACATATGAATTAAAATACTTCCCACAAGCTGCATGCACCAATTTGAACAGGTCGAGTATATGAGCCACACTCTTCTTCAAAACGGAACCTCTTAAATAAGTGAGGGAGGAGAAAGTGTAGCTGTGGGAATGTCATACCGAGTCGCAACAAAATGAAGTACTTTATCTTTATCATCATCATCATCATCAAAGACAGCAACATCAGTGTTGGCACTGATACTTCACTGCCGTATTATCTTAGTAGTCTGGGTACGTCGGTTCACCGTGTTCTGATAGTGTGGAGTTATTCTGCTTTTGTTGAAACGTCGGATTACTGACCACTATTGATTAGATCTAGTAGCGCTTTTCGTATAAAAGATCACCAAGTGGGGAAATTGTGCTCACCTATTTGCAACAGCCACAGCTTGCGTTATAATGAATACCGAAGATTTCAACTACTTATGAGTAGTGGTATAGCACAATACAAAACGGAATTGCTTCACCAGTTCTACGCCGACAGCAGATTCACGCAATAAACTTCGGAATCCGCTTCTGATGAGACTAACAAAGGACGAGAAATATCCTCTCTTTTGTATGCGACATATGCATTCAGGGGCTTTAGGACTGGGGAGGGGATGATGGGTTACTAAGGTAACTTTCGATTGCGATCCAGGTAGCCAGAGTGAGGCTCGGAAACATAAAGCAATGAATGGGAAGAACAAAGGCGCTTGACGTAAGCAAAACGTGAACGAACCTATTACCACCCACACTAATGCGGAAATCTGGCAGTGAGTGGGGCTCTCTTAAGTGCTTTTGCATATATCGGTGCTCATTATACAGGAGCGAGTGGAACAATACGATGAGCATAGTCGTGGATGAGCTGGGTATTCCAACACGAACTCGATCCTCCCAGTTACGTATGAGATGGAATATCATCAATAATTAAGTATCCTACAAACAAAGGCTACTCGATTCGTTAGTTAACTAGTTGATTCTGTCCTACTTCAACCGAATGAGAATTTAGTTTGGCGTAAAGTGCTTACAACCTCTGTGCAATGTCAGAAAAAACACGAATTCGTGGGCTCTGTGGTGGAACCATTGGCGAAGAATTAGCATGTACAGTTAGTTGCCGAGTACGAGATCTTGGATAAAGCACAGGAATCAAGAAGACAATGAGTAAAAGTTCTGCGCAGCCAAGCGAAATCAATAGCATTTATCAACATCGAAAACACTGTCTCACTTAAGGACGCGGAACAGTGGGTCATAAGGTAGTTGTTGGCCAAGCCAAGAGTCCTTTTCTGATAGACATACAATATCAGCTTAATTTACTTCTGCCGTAGAGAACCTCATGGAATGAAAATGGACACTCGATAAACAACACGCCAATTAGACGTATTGGCAATAATAGTATAGGCTCAAGTTATTTTAGACCAATGTGAGTGATGCGTTTTCGGCAGAACAATACATCTACGTGACGAAAGAAATGTGTGTTGCGAGTGAGCTAACCGACCCGACTCGACAGTGACACATCTCATGGCCACCTAGGAGTCGGAGTTGACTTGAGGAACTAAAAACGTGACAGTGATTTCCATGGGAGTTGGGAGACTGGTAAGCAGAAATCCACCGTCTCCTCATAGCGCGGAAATTTAAAGAAAATGCGGAAAGTAAAATTTCGCAGAGAAAGATGCGGCTTCCTGAAACCAACATTCAATAAATACAAGGGTTGCTAATCAAATGCTTCTTCATGGACACATGCAGATGACGTTGCCCTCCTTGGTTTCGTTCCCGTAGATACACAAACCGTTTTTAATGGTCTAAAGTATTCTACCGCACCCTACGCCAATGGGAGTGAACGGTTGTATAAGCCCAGATGGACTGGGTGACAGCGAGACAAGCTTGGGGTAACTGATCAAGCTCCGACACTTATGTCACCGGTGTGAAGTCAGTTTGTTCGTAAAGGAAGGAGAATACAGTGGGGCAGTACGACTCGCCAAGTTTTATGAATCAGAGACGTGACTAACTAACGTAAAAAGTATACGAGAACTCTCGGGGTTTGACCTTATCTAAAACATCGTCTGAGTCTGTTCGGAACATCAAATTAACAGGGACCTTTTTGCCCAGTCCTGAATCGAACGGGAAGATCGGCAGACAGTCCGCCACCTGGCGACGAGGTATGAAAACTCTAACCGGTAATCAGCTAAGTGGAAAATGGCAACTCGTGAGCAGCGACCCCAGGACTAGATGTGGCTCAGTCACGCAGTCAGCGGCACTCCTGAACCAGAATTATTGGCGTCAATGTGTAAGTGTCCAGTTCTCTAGTTCAGAAGTTAAACAAAATGACTCAATCTCAATTGATACATTAAACTGTTATCGCTAATGTCTGATTTAATTTCCATGGCTTCCCATTGTTTGGCGATCGAAGGTGTAGCAGCTTAAATCAACGTACCCTTGGTACATGATCTATGACTGGCTCATTAAAGTGAGCTGTATTCTTGAAATTTCCCTCTTTTCTGTTTATTGAATGTCCCCCTTCGCGACACTGTCTGCATCGCTTTACTCTCTAGTGCACGTAAACCATAAGCAACGCGTTCTTTTTTTCCTCCGAATTGCGACTACCTCCATCACACGAGAGGAATCGCTTCAGTTCTCAAGGAATGGCAATTTCAACACAGTGTTAGTACTTAGATAGGGGCTTAATTATCAAGGGGCACACAGAACCTTTGATTTTAGTCAACCATTGGTTCATACTGAACAGAATAAATTGGGAATTGAGAAGTCCTATGCATGAGAAAATAAATCAACACGTTCGCTCGAAAATACTGAGCGCGGTCGACCGAAAATTCAAGAGTGCATGACGCCAGTTTGTTGGAATTCGAGACAGTTCAGTGGTTAAGTCGTCAGGTTACGGACCGAAGGTCCACGGTTCGAATCCGATCTCAGCATCTCGACTGCTCCTGTCTAGGCTTGGGTAAACTGACATTATCCCAGTCCTCGCGTCTACTTCCGTTGGCAACTAGGCATCGAAAGGCAGCTACAGCTGTATTGTGTTGTCAGTCGGTTGATAACTAGTTCGCTGCATTGCACGCTAGCATCGCGATGCTCCTGTCTAGGCTTGGGTAAACTGACATTATCCCAGTCCTCGCGTCTACTTCCGTTGGCAACTAGGCATCGAAAGGCTGCTACAGCTGAGCGATTGTATTGTGTTGTCAGTCGGTTGATAACTAAGCTACAGCTGTATTGTGTTGTCAGTCGGTTGATAACTAGTTCGCTGCATTGCACGCTATCCCCACATACTGACTTAAAATCAACTGACTCACGAAGCATTACCTTAATTTGGAGAGAGACTTAAAGGTCAGCAATCTGAACCACAAAAAGAGCGGTATATAAGATGTGAGGAGTGTAACTAGTCAACGGTTAATCCTGATCTGGTTCGTAAAATTGCCATTCTTACGACATGCCTAAGTTTAAGCGCGATAGAAAAGCCAGAGAGTATCAGAGACACAGTACCAGAACAAAGTTCAGGCATAATGTCTTGTTCAAATGTGGAATTGTCACATTACTAGAGGGGGCTGGTAGTAAGAATAGAAACCTTTCAATTTCAATTATTCTTCGTACGTCATATAGGTCATGCAGGATATGACAAATTTAGGTTGGCACACTAATTAGCAGGACTCTCAATCCGACTATTGTCTGCAAGCGGATCGACTATCCACAACGAGCTCAGGTTAATACTACGTGGATCGGATTCATCTTGAATCGAGATTATAGCCTCATGTAGCGGACGAACTCTTGGGTCAGTGCTAGAGCCTCGAACCAAATCTAAACGTCTGAGAGTTTCTATTGGGCGTTCCGCATCAAATACGAGATCAAACAAAGGACCAGATCCACCGGTGAAGCTGGAAGCTGCTTTTGAAAGTGACGACGGAATAGGTATATGAAGTTTCGGAGAAAGACGTTTGGCAATCCACGATTCCGCACGAATTCCCAACTGGGTGGGGCTGATCGCAGATCCGGCTGTAAAAATAAGTGGGGAAAGCATACATTCCGATAGTTCAACAACGACAGGCAACGAGTCGGTCGGCGACATGGATGCTGCCTGCCTACAATGGTAACCAGTGCTTAAATTCACAAACTTTTTACAGTTAAAAAGATTAAAAACGGGAGGAAACGGCTTATGCTTCCACTTAAGTTAAAAAAGAGTAATAAAGAAAACTTAGGCGTGGTAACAGCTCTCAGTAAGTAACGTAAGCGAAAGAGAAACATGATGCCCAGTTTATTCATTGAATTTTCCCTTATTTCAGCAACAAGAGAGAATCCGAATAGTCTTACTGCAGAGAACTATGTGTCCCAGTCGGAACGAGGGTACAAAACATGGCTTCGACGACACGTCAATGCTATATTGAAAAAAACGTGAAGAAAGAGTGCATCTTAAATCGATCGATGGATCACTTCACGCTCACCAGCACATAAGATTCCTCAGAATAAACGGTCACGTGACAATTCTACATTGATCGAATTCGAATATCAACATCACATGTGGTAGCATTCTGGGTCGGGATCGGGATATGGCACAAAGGATGAATTCTATCAAACAACAACTCCATGGGAGAGAGAAATTGATTTGGATCGACCACGCGAGTTAGAGAGAACCAGTTTTACCGTACATCATCATTGGAATAAAGTAGCTGAAAGCGTGCGTGTACAACATCAAGCCTAATTTGGAGTGTTTGTACAGGTTAATGTTACAAATAGGTGCACCAAGGCCGCTTCAGCATGACAGTAAGTAAACAAGTAGACATCTGCTGAAATCATTAAAGATTTTGTTGATTTACAGTGATAGTGAGTTGTGACGACGACGCAAAGGCTAGTTTTTGATCTTCATCGAGGTTCGATTTTGGGAGAAAGTTGGAAGACCCCTCAAAGTTAATCCCGGAAGCGGGTAGCTTGGAAGTAAAACACCCGGCAGTAACGACAACTGAAACAAAAGCGTCAACTGACCTTCGGATGGTCGCAGGAGAAGCGCGTAGGTCAACAGAGCCGCCTTAAACTCCTCCTCTTGTGCCAATTTCAGTACACTATTGAGAGCCCGCGATCCCGTTGTCTGGCCGCATTGGTAATGCTAGAAGATAGAAAAAGAGATGCGACCGGATCTCTGATGACCAAGCAACAACATAAAAGAATAAACAAGCGGACGCCAACATCATACGCGAAGCGTTTACTCTCTGTGTGAGGTGAATTCGGAATTTTTCTCTCTGATTTCATTATTAAATGCAAAGCCAACCTATGCAGAAAAGCCGAAAAGCAGTGCGATGCTGTTTCGTCCTTACTGTAAATCAAATCGACGGAGTACGGATAAGTAACCTCGTGGACATGAGGTACAGGTGTCTGATTAGTAAATTGATGAACTCACGATTAAATGCGTCAAAAACCCTAACCCCGGGAGTCGGCGAACGGTGCTTACACTTCTGGTCTGTAAGTACCGTAGGGAATACGAAGTTTCAACCAAAATCATATCACGCAAGTGGAGTCAACCTATGCTGAAGAGCCAAGAAGCACCGCACAGTCGTTGCTTACTAGTTGGAAATCTCGGGGAGGATTCGAACCCGATAGTTTCCGGTTAGTTGTTCAACACAATACCACCTAACTTCGAGTGTCTGGTCGGCGGTATGCTTAGTTCGCGCATAGAGAGAATATAGCAATACCCTCAACCACATCGTTCATCAGTAACTAAACGATAGTGCTCAGAATCCTACCCAACAGTTGTGGGTTCCAAGTCACCTCAGGATCATCGGCTTCTATACAGAGTTTATGGGCTTTCTAATGCAGACTCTGATTTTCAGGATGAAGTTAGGAACTTCAGAATCTGCTTCCCGTTCGCAAAATATAGGTGAGTCGTTGAGTTTGAGTGTCGCTAAGTTCTTGTGGAGTAAAAACCCAGGTTACGTTTGGTGTGGACAAGCTTTGAAATTCACGTAAGGGCTTGAGGACCAAACTCACAGCACACGTTAAACTTGGAATGTACTGTGCATGATAAGTTCTGCACCAACTCCTAACGTCGATCATTCACATCACAGAACCAAACGGAAGCGATTCACAGACAGACTACGTATGTTCACTGCCAAGCTGCATGTTGAGCAGTTCAGTCAGAATTCAATCTCAGGCGCACTGTGCAGAGGCTTATCGGCTCCCGAGTATAAAGTGGGAGTAGTTGTTGTAACACAAACAATAAGATTTCGTGCAATAACTGCATATAGGTCAACCGTAAGTTGTGAGGTACGTGCATGGGCGCCCAGGTGTTTTGAAATACACCTCTGTGAAAATGGAATACGCTGCGCTTTAACACAAAGTTACTAATCGCGTGAGCAGAGTCCTAAGTGAGCAGAACTGGAAATTGCCACCATTTTCGATGATTTTCATGACACATGCTATGAGTGCCATTTGTAACAGGGCTAGACAATCCTACAAATGCCCACCTACAACTCAGGCTACTGCTCTGGATGGGAAAGTTCCACCGCCCAATCACGCTTACTTTCAACTACTACTACTACTTACTAGCCTTGGTACGGGCGAAGTAAGAGTCACGAGGTGCCTACGAAGAGCCTACCCATACTACTGACGGGAGTGAGTTAACAAATGCATAGTAAGCATCTGACAGACTTCTCAACTCGTTTCCGTTGTGTGTACAGGTAGAATGCTCGGAGACAGGTGTAGTAAGAACAAGTGAGCGCAAAAAGCCTTCTTTGAGGACAATGGTTGTTCGGAGAATAGAACTATATAAATCAGAAGTTCCGGACAGAAGTACTTCTGAACCATCTATGACATTTCTTGGACGACATGAACTTCATATTTCCTGCTGTTGCCTTCACTCCCATGTCCCATGAATTGGTTCCATAGGACATATATCATCAAAACCTAACCAGTCACACTTTTAGGCAAGCTCTCCAAATTCCGACAATATACCCAACGTGACTAAATTCAACATGAACGGGCACGGGAAATCACTTCCGATCATCTTCTCGTTCATTTTCTGGTGGCTCTTCTCAGGCTCCCGCGAGTGAAGTACGGATACAACTGGGATGGTCGAAACTAGAGTGAGCAGTTGCAGTCTAGACGAATCAGACATCGAAGAAGTGACGTTGTATGCGTGTTCGAAAACACAGACGCGACTAAAAAGATTCACACCGGAACCTTTAGAAAGAACCTTTTTAAAAAAAACAGCTAGCCAACTACAGAAATTTATTGAGAGAAATGGTTACGGTGACAAACCAGGATCCTGCAGTCCGGCCTGACAGTACATCATTTGTTTTTTCATCCTGGGTCGATTGTTAACTGAGCATCTACAGTCAAACTGAATGCTGTGGGATCTTCAGGTCGTTCTGACTAGGGCCCAAGTGATCCAGCTTGCGGGTGGCTGTAACCTTGCAGGACACGGCACGCATGCTGTCATCTCCTAGTCGAACTGCCTAGCTAAAGTTAGTTTATCGTTGTTCGCTGGGCTTTGATCGGGTGAGGTTTGCAAAGGACGTTGGATCAATCCCGCTGACTCTCGAATGTGTCTCTTTTATTGCTGTCCAAAGATTTAAGCACCTTATTCTTGATCATTTTCCTCAAACAGATAGGGCCTCATTGAATTAAGTCTCTACCATTCCGTTTTCTACTCTTCACTAAGGCCTTTACTCCTGCTTGATTGGCAGTTAAGCACCAGTATGTAATGCTGGCGTATTGCTGTCATTGATGATGACAGTGATAACGTCCCCTAAGTTTCCAGTCTATCCTGTGGTTTCTTTTTGTTGCGGGACAACAGAATAAACGGCCTCACCACCTTCCTATGAAACACACACAAGGCAGCTACCAGCTGCATTATCCAAGATATACAGTATTAACCATGTTGAAGAATTTTGTAAAAAAAAGCACGATTGTATTCGGAATCTCACTTGCATAAGTTGATTGACTCTTGGAGGTTAAAGACTGTCAGTACTGTTTTAATCAGCTATGATCGTACTAAATAGCACCGACGTTCTCTTTAAACCAAATCGATCCGAAAAGGTCACCCAAATTGGAGTGACAGGACAAACGGAACCATTCGACGTCAATGAACTCGTTGGGCCATCGCCTTGATCGGGTGGCTATCATGGCCTTATTCACCTCTGTGAACAGAGCTGTAGCAACTGGAAACACTGTATTTTGATGCACGGTTTGAGCTGAAAAACCGACTGAAAGCTCCATTCACCGTGTTCTTTTCGCAACAGTGGATTGATCCGGAAGGTCTTGTCATAGGTACCTTTGTGAAAGTTACGTGTACACCCCTGAATATACAGAGACCATTACCCCAAATAAGGGTAAAACATTTGTCAAGTGTCATCTCTACGTTCCACGAGAAGGTGCACGTACGCGTTATCGACTCTGAGAAGTGAGTGAATTGTCTTCAAGCAGGATAGAACAAGGTCATGGCAATACTGCCGAGTGAATTAACATAAGCAGGATAAACTAAAGAAAAAACGAGGGCGACTTAGAAAAAATAGTGCAAAGTTCATTCGTACGTTTGGTGGGATTCTGTGAACAAAAAATATGACAGGCCACAGCGTGAAGCACCGCTATTTAGATACCGAAAATTTATTACCGGATGGTGTATGGGGATAACAACACTTGTTCGCAACTTTAACAAGTAAACTGACTCAAGATGGCAAGTGTTGGTTCACCGTTCAGAATTTCCAATAACCACATGAATATGAATATGTTATATGCGAACAATACTAAGAGATATACACCTGCGTTAACAGAACCACAGAAACATACCAACATTTTGAGCCAATGGCCCAATCTCGCTCGAGCACGCCAGTACCGAGCCCAAACGAGACTGGCCGTGGCAGCTGCGCCTGCAGTCGCGGCCAAGGACCATGCAATAACGAGGTCTGGGTTCGCTGTGAGCAGCCACGCAAGCGGAGTTACAACGCCAATACACCCTACAGCAGTAGCAGAACTGACAACAACGATCATGCGACCAACAGGTGTGAGGGCTTGAAAACGAACATCCGGCAGTAAATAGACAAGATTATCCACGTAGGTTGATTTACCGGAAAGCTTAGGTACGGGAACATCCTGAGGGACAAAAAACAGTATAATAGGTACAACTCAGAGGTATACACAGTAATCGAAACCGGCTTAATTTGTATTGCCAGTGTAGGGTGTAACGTCGGGAAGATGTAAACCACACTATTCGTCAGTGATATCTGTCATACGCAACATACCTCACAATGCAAAAACGCACAACTCTGGTAAACATTGTGCGTGCAGTTAGAACTCACAAACAGATATCACAGAGACAAAAGAACGATAGTTCGACACCATGAAAGTTAATGGGTCGACGTTCTTGGCTAGGGGTAAACCAGTCACATCGTTCACGTTCATCGGTTTAGAAGTGCGTATAAGAATGAAGTAGTGGCTACATCCTTATGTGCCCAGTGTAACCACTTTTTGGTACGGAATAACGAGAACTGCACTAATACAGGAAAAGGATTACCCGAACGAAAGCAATGGGAATGCAAAAAGAAATACACGAATGATATGTTTCATACAGACCGTCCGAAGAAAACAATCTTGATTGGACGCACTAATGTCTGATGAGAAAGACTGGTGAATAGACGGCGAACTTTCTGAGGTATCCTGAGTCAACTAAAGCCAAATAGCTTTCAACTGAATGTACCACACAAAGGCTGCTCCATATTTCATATTCGAGATATGGAAGCACACTTTCTTCGCACAACGGACTGATTACAGAGATTTAGACTGGATCCAGTTGAATCTCCTGTTAACACCAACTTCGTCTGCGAATTAGTGTATCTAACCAATTGAGTAAAACTTCGCGTTCAAGTAGAATACAAGTTCGGTGGAAACTCAAGGCCTTAAGAATGGTAAAACCCAAGCATGGGCTACCGAAATGATCTTAGCAACTTTGTAAGCAGTGTGTTATGCCAGGCCTTCACTGATGTTCTAATTAGTAACTGCTCCGCGTCCAACGACAGTTACTCGGGAGCGAATTAGGTTTAAATGCCTGTATCCTACTCAATCCTGACAACATTCCCTACATATCATTCAAGAAACCAAGCGGACCATTACACTCTCCGTACATAGAAGCTTGTAACTCAAGACGTCAGTCCTCAAAAGCGTCCTCACAAGCACTGGCTCCTACTGTAGACTGATAAGTGTGAAGGCAGCTCACATGATGCGACTTAATATATCGATTGCGGTCCTAATGATGACAGTTGTGAAACCATCATCGTCAATATCATCACTGACAGCAGCATCAGACAAGAACACGGATGCTTGATTGTGGTACAATCACGTCAAGTTATTTGGAGAACGTCTTATAATGAAAAGGAAAAAATGGGACATGGAGGGGGGACATAGAACTAATAATCACCATTTAGCCTAGCTGACATGCCACCCAAAGGAAGCACGAGGGCTGGGATACTGCCAGGTTGCCCAAATCTAGAAAGAGGAAGTCGAGAGGCAAAGGTCGTGTTTGAACCACGAACCTTCCGGTCAGTAAATTCGTGCGCTAACTACTTGAGCCATAGGACTAGTCTATGACAAACACCTGAGATGAATAAACTTCCATCACTCGATCAGACAATACAGATGGAAAATGACAGCATGAATGCCACTGACGTTTAACCGCCAAATCGTTCAGTGTCTCCCACTAAGGACGAAGGGATGAGGTGAATCAGTTCGATGCAGTTCGAAGGCGAACTGTATCAACAGCACCAAAACTTTTGGTGACCCCTTCCTTTCTCCCATGACGAATTCTGTCCACCTCTAGGTTTCTGCCACTCCGAACTAGGTACGGAAAATAGCGCTCGTCTCGACACGCACACATGGCCGAGTCAACTTAGCTTGCAATACTGGGTGCATTCTTTGAGTGAAGTATGGCCTGCTCCACCGAAGACCCATCTCTCAGTCACCCCCTTTCGAATTCGTTAGTTCCAGCTTATTCTGGCTATCCTTCCGAAACATAGGCGGCCAAAGACCTGAAGCTGTTTCAGGTCCTCCGCTCGCATTTGCCACGTCCCACAGCCGCACTGAACTCTAATACACGCGTCCCTTGAGACCCACTGACGTGCCTTTTCGATGCTTGACGGAGAAAAAGGTATTCTTTATTTTCAAAGCAGTCGACTGTTCGAAGTTCACTGTCCAGGGCTGCGTTGCGGGTCGGGAATCCGATGCAGCAACTGCAGGTGGCTAGCTGAAGTGTGGTTGAAAGGGTTCAATCCAATAATCCATGCACTGTTCTTCTTCTGAAATAGGTGAGCCGTTGTTATCAGCAATCGTTACACTCATCGGAGATATCTTTGGGTTCGTTCCGGGTATAAGCTGGAGCAGATTACGCACATTTTGAATTTCCTGTCTCATTCATCTCTTTGGCCTTCTGAATCCACAAAACCACTTGACCCGCAGACGCTCTTTTCATCTGAATTCTGACAGTTCACCGAGTTACACTGTACTCTCGACTGGCGGTAACTGGTATCCGAGCTTCAAGCAATCTTAGTGTTGCTCGAGATTGAATGCTTACATCTATTTGGACTGATTTATTCCAAAAGTGGGGCGCCCAGCATCGTGTAGGGTTGCGGATAGTATCTTGGGGTAGAAGCCAACATTGGAAGACGTCTTGTCCGAAGTGGACTTCAGCAAGTGGTTCCGGTAAACTTTTTCACATCAATAGTCAGGTGAGGTGTGCAAACTTTGCGCGCTCCTTAATAGCAAACAGGCGCGTGATGCGAATCCACATAGGTGTTCCAGGACGAGTGACACTCCGCAATTGACGCACGCCACCTATAGCTAATCGCCATGTGGTCTATCCACGTTTGAGGTAGACTGTCATGTGCGGGCACCATATGGCCAAGCGGCCTCGGCTGTTTTGGAAGTTAATGTTGCACAGAAACAGTCCTTGGTCGGCACTAAACTGCAGCAGACGTTCGCTGTTGTCCGTGTGTTTCGATTCCAGTCCAAGACGACCATCCAATTGAGCCCTAGCAGCGCACATTCATATCTCCGGCAACAATAACAAAGTAGGTACACGCTATGTGGCTAGGGGGCAGGAACCAGTTGAACTGACTGCAACTAGTCATGACAACTGCAGATTGTTGAAATGCATACACAAAGGAGAAAATCGCATTGGAATGTGGTTCCTTAGTGAGAGAATTTTCCGCTGTTACTGATGTTGACTGGTTGGCAACTATGAACTGCTCTGTGATATAGAACACATGTTCAGCTTGCACTGTACCTCCGAAGTACCACCGCCAGGTGTTTTAGACCTGGTAGGCTTGTCCAGATACTGAAGTGGTTCTCGCTATTCTTTATTGTTTACTGCATCACGTTCACATAAACCAGAGTGGTAAATCCGTAATACCAGCGTGTGTTACTTAGTTTCCGAATGATCACAAGTCCAAGTTGTTCCAAACCTCTAACTGCTCCAGGGTTTCAAATAATACTATACTGACTCCGCCCTTCCTCACTAGGTGGAAGCAGTCTAGTCTACGTCAGGCCGTGCTAACGGCGTGAAAGCCGCTCGGCTTGCAGGTATGATTTCACATAAGTAGTCATGCTTTCTGTAAAGATTAGGTAAAAGCAAACACTACGACCGTCTTAAGGCTGGCCACGACCCAAAACTACCCAACCAGCAGTGCGGCGATGTTTGAAGGGAGTCTACTGCACTCAACCATAAATAAATTTCCATGTACACACACACGTTCAGTCACCCAGCAATTGGCTTTTTCGGGGTCATAATGGCAGACACTAACGCTGTCAAGGTATAGAGTTTACAATCAGCTTCAGCAGACAAGCAGTGTGAATATTTTCCTGCTTCCTGTTAAATCATCCAACATACAACGAGGGATCCGCACTGCTCCCAGGTGCTCTCTCCATACAGCATATACGTCTGGGTCAGCTGAGTGTTCCCCTGATACCTGTATCCAAAATCATATCAACGATACAAACAGATGTCAGGGATCCGTGATGTACGGCGATGCTTAGTACAAGCACTCTCCAAACACCAAACGCACATTTCTTGCTCAGGGAAGTCATTTGTTTACCATGGGTATACGCTGTCATGAGCAAAGCTATCGTAGCCAAAAATCTCGGAGCAGCAATGTAAAGAAAATCGCATTGGAATGTGGTTCCTTAGTGAGAGAATTTTCCGCTGTTACTGATGTTGACTGGTTGGCAACTATGAACTGCTCTGTGATATAGAACACATGTTCAGCTTGCACTGTACCTCCGAAGTACCACCGCCAGGTGTTTTAGACCTGGTAGGCTTGTCCAGATACTGAAGTGGTTCTCGCTATTCTTTATTGTTTACTGCATCACGTTCACATAAACCAGAGTGGTAAATCCGTAATACCAGAGTGTGTTACTTAGTTTCCGAATGATCACAAGTCCAAGTTGTTCCAAACCTCTAACTGCTCCAGGGTTTCAAATAATACTATACTGACTCCGCCCTTCCTCACTAGGTGGAAGCAGTCTAGTCTACGTCAGGCCGTGCTAACGGCGTGAAAGTCGCTCGGCTTGCAGGTATGATTTCACATAAGTAGTCATGCTTTCTGTAAAGATTAGGTAAAAGCAAACACTACGACCGTCTTAAGGCTGGCCACGACCCAAAACTACCCAACCAGCAGTGCGTGCGGCGATGAAGGGAGTCTACTGCACTCAACCATAAATAAATTTCCATGTACACACACACGTTCAGTCACCCAGCAATTGGCTTTTTCGGGGTCATAATGGCAGACACTAACGCCGTCAAGGTAGAGAGTTTACAATCAGCTTCAGCAGACAAGCAGTGTGAATATTTTCCTGCTTCCTGTTAAATCATCCAACATACAACGAGGGATCCGCACTGCTCCCAGGTGCTCTCTCCATACAGCATATACGTCTGGGTCAGCTGAGTGTTCCCCTGATACCTGTATCCAAAATCATATCAACGATACAAACAGATGTCAGGGATCCGTGATGTACGGCGATGCTTATTACAAGCACTCTCCAGACACCAAACGCACATTTTTTGCTCAGGGAAGTCATTTGTTTACCATGGGTATACGCTGTCATGAGCAAAGCTATCGTAGCCAAAAATCTCGGAGCAGCAATGTAACGGAGAATGTTTTGGCGCTCGGCAATGGGGTGCAAGTAGTGTCAAAATCCCTAAAAGGATACGAAACGGAAGTAATAAACTTACATCGAACAACTTCAGTTGCAGGTGGGCATCTTGCTTCCGTTTAGCGGCCATAAAAACGTTAGAAAAACATGGGTCGTCTGGCGAAGATGCGGGCTCCAGTCTCGGTTGGGCGAGAGAGCGAAAAAACCGCGTCAACGGACTTTTTCGGAACTGCCTCACACGTCGAATCATGCGCTCAGTAGCGAACACTATCCGGGAGTATGTACTACTCAGACGAGTTACTGCACCACCAGATGTATCATCTGCAGAATCCTGTTTCTGCATCACAGGAACGGTCTTCATTCCCCGAGGATGAATGCCACGAACCCAGAAACGAATGACATCGTAATCAAGCGGATCGATGTACAACTGAGGGAAATGATGAGCAATTTGGGTAAAGTTAACATGGTAGAACACATGTTATGAACAACCTGAGATTACCGAGAAAACTAGCCACGTGCACACTAAGCTACACATTCGCAACCAATGCACTCCCCTGCACTCAAACGATACAGAAGAAGAACGACTGGAAAACAATTACACTCTGAATAATACTGATTTTCTTTGAGTATAAGGAAATGAGTAGCTGTAGCATACCTGAACAACACGAAGAGACTGGTTACCTGATCTAAGTAAGTACATATTCCGGACTGAGAACAAGATCCCATTTATTTCTAAAGAAGCGCAAGGATTGTGAAATTGAGGCACATGTAACAAAAATCACGAAGGAAATACAGTGACAAAGTAGTCTCAAAGAGTAGGACAACGGTTCTACGCTCCACTTGGCTCAGATGCCAACATATAAAATAATAGATGTCTATCAAAACTACTGTTTTCCAACCTCAGTCCAGTTGTTTTTCAATCAAGGACCGTTTGAAATTGTAATTTAATCCTCTCACAGCAGTCGGACACCGATAGCAAAGGATGGGGAAGAGGCTTGACTAGTCCCCATAAAGCAGAACGAAAAACAGCAAACAGAAGCAACGGTTAAGGACAAACGATTGGCTACAGGAATTCACCTCGACGATGCAACTGGTCATTGATAATATGGATCCCTAATGCCCCAGACTAGCGGACGACACTGATCATCACGGCTAAGGTCCGTTGTTAGGCATGTCATGCTTCAGTTCATGGTTCATTCATCTTGAACCATCTGTCAGAGGTTTCGGAAAACAGAGCTCGATGATGCAACCAACATTTGAGATGACAAGGTTCATCCTCATCGCATCAACAAGGAAGCGAGCACCCGTTTGGTGCCGAAAACTGTTTGCAACAATTCAGCAGTCTCATCGAACATATGCAATATTTCAAAGACACTGATGATCCGAGGCAATCAGTTGCCTTTTGGCTTCAACGCACAATGGCCACAAAGTGTTACTGAACGAACCATAGCATTGTGGACCCAGCGCTTTCCCGACAAGTTAATGTCACATCGTCGCCAAAGGCTCCCAAGTTGAACAGGCATTGGAAAGTTCAACACTCACTTCCTTAGTAATATTGCCATCTGAAGAGACATAACTGCCAGACGAAGGAAATTTAGCAAACGTTCTAGCGCCTCGTACACTGTAGATATGTTTGTTGTTTTTTGAAATAACAACTTACACTTTGAAGATGAAAACCGAATTTTCATATACACAGTAACACGATTCAAAGCATTTACCGCGTATTACATTTCCCCATGAGGACCTCGCTCATCGTATTTTGGGCCCAGTGATTCGGGCGAGTTGCCTTTTCCAGCTCTTTAGAATTGTATATTCATCGGGTCCGCCGGTTAATCTTCCCACCCCGAGCGGATTTTCCCGATTTAATAAGAATGCCAGTGATCTCCACATTATTCGCCGTCCGGAACAGCCCGGAAAAAGTTATTTTTGATTGTTTGTGCTGCGGACCATCCAGGCAATGAACAAACTACGTCTTTGGTCGATGCCTGTTGACTGAGAGGCCTGGCTGGACTGACTGCGTAAAGTGGGATGCTCACATGCGGAGCACTTTTGGTTTCCACACTCAATGCGATTCCACACCGCTGCTGGCTCATTGGAAGCCGAAGGATGGCCCGCATAATGATTCAGCAAGCGGAAAGCGAAATATATATGTTCACCTGATTGACAGTGGGGACATTGAATGATGCTACAGTGAAGGTTCCTTGAGTTAATGCGCATGTTAAAACTGTTTTTGTTGGACAGAGTGTTAAGAATTGTTACTGAACTGACAGTGTTTGAGACGGAAGAAATCATGCTGGTGAGAGATATCCGTAGCTTTTGAATAAACAGTCTGATCAGGCGCTGAGATCCTCTTGAGAAAGATCCAATGACCCAATGACTCCTCTTTTGACAGTGGACGGATACGACACAGAATTCTCACTCCTAACACTGTTGTACACAGTGGATTCACTAGACCCTTGTTTTTCATGTCCAAGCTGCTTCCTCTTTTCTGGTCGTTAGCTGTGGAAAGGTTATCCTTCATCACGGCGGACATTAGAAGCAGAAGCTGGCTTCGGGTGCCTCATCCCAAGTGCTTGACCTCAAGGTCTGACCCACGAGGCACATGTAGGCTGACCGAACCCGGGAATATAGGGTGTAAGGCATGAAAATCTAAATGCTGTTGTGTATAGCAGGTACAATCTTAGCAGCACCGGACTCTTGTTTACTTTTGTATGTACATATATTTCGACCGCATTGTTCAATGCGCTGGGGGCCACGGTCAACCGTTTGGCGATAGGTGTGGGGGTTTTAGGACAAAAGTTTTATAACAGCAATGCTGAATAAAAATAAAAATGGCTGGGTGCATGGTTGTTACGTAGCTCAAAGAAGAAACGAGGGTACATACGCTGCTAGGTTTCACAAGCTTAACAATAGCAGTCGAAAATCTAGGATTGAGTTTAAACCATGAAACTTCCGACCTCAGGCCTATACATAAGATAGGTTAGTAACCTTGGGAGAATATTCAACTATTCTTACGCTCATATCGCAGCGAAAAGTATAGATTTACTCCCGAGACCACATTGTGATGCAATTTCCTAGGGTACGGAAGCTCACTGCTCTTCGTCCATTGTATGATGGGACTAGAATTCCCCAATCGATATTTTATCTTGTATATGAAGTCAATCGATTACGAAAAGCCGAGAAGCATAGTACACCTGTTTCATCCCTATTCTGAGTCGTTATGGCGTCTCATAAATCTCTACGGAGATTGGAGTCCACAACATTCTAGCTAGTAGTTCAAGGCTAAACCAACAGGCGACGAGCGGCTGATCAGCACTCGCACTTAGACAGCATATAGCGCCACTAACGCCTGAATCACAGAACTCAGATCACAATGAACAGACCCCCGACGGACGTACACAGTTTTTTTTAATAAAATACAACACTGATAGGGGCTGGAGCCAACTAACCATGGCACCACTGCCCTCCAGGCGCCTTGGACTGCACGCATTCTCCAACTGATCACGAGTCACTTCAATGAAGCCTGCCCTTGGAGCCAACTGTGCAAAACGACGAAGTAACCAAAACTCATGATCCAGTGCATTCGAATTTGCGGCGAACACCAAGTTACGCGAATATGTACTCGGTAGCGCGCCGTGGTGGTCGGTCACGCCAGGTGAAGCTGGCGTAGGTTCAATAGCTTGAGACAATAACTGAGACAAAATGAAGACAGCCATCAGCAAAGGTACCAACGTGCCAAAATGAACAAAAGCACACAGGATGTTGTGTACTGTATATTGAAATATCAGTGATACTGCAAAAAGTAAAATAAAAATTCCTAGAAAAATGATAGCCTGAGAGTCCGGCCAGTGTATACGTGACGTAGCAAGGAAGCAACCCATTGTGGTAGGAAGGTTTTTCCTCAATAGGCGTTAAAAACATTCTGAAAACATAAAACACCATTTAACTTATTACACTGCGGCTCACAAAAGGATGAACTGCGGAGTGAATAGCTGTGGTCTCCCTATCATTACTTGACACAGCCGAGTGTTTACTTGTTAAACCCCTAAACTCGTGCTTCTGGAGTCGGTGACCTGCTGAAGATTCGCATGCCTATAAACAGCAATCGTCACTAACAGCAGTCCATCCTCCTTCACCGCCTTACAGAGTCAGATCACCATGCCGAATTCTGCAGTCAAGCCTTTTGATGTTACTTCCGCATGTTACAACACATCGCCGTCGATGAACTGAGGTGCTAGGCCATGCAATGTAAGTTTATTTATCGGAGAATAAAAAAAACATTTAGGCAGAAGTAACTAAAGCTGTCACAGACTTCTTTGTTATGCCAGCTACTTGATCGCCGGCGAAGATTCGCCATTTTAAACTTATTAGGTTGTAAACACCTGAAGACAGAACACTCACTCGTCTACATCCGACAGGAAATGCAGATTGCTTATGACAAAGGCAAAACTAATGAATAGATTGGGTTACTTCAGATAAATTCCAATCGCACCAGTAGGTAGGTGCATCTGTTGAAATTAGGAGACACCCGGAGTCGGTACGCATTATTCAGGGAAGTCGCAATTCACTAAGAATTCACTGACGACAAAACATCTTTTACGATAGACAGCCCCAGATGACGTTCTTGTCGGTGATACCTCACTCTTAGCAGTTCTGCGGCACAGCTAAAGAAGAATGAGGAGAGGAAATCGGTGCCTATGAATACCACAAAAACACCGAAACGAAAAAACAGCCCTCGGAAATTATTCACAATTAGAGCGGAGATCCTAATTTCACAACAACGCCAACACCAACTGCTAAGTCAGGGACAAGGTAAGGACCATGTGTGTACCAATCAAGGAGAAAACTAGTGAAAAACGTCAATCGAAGATTCTAGCCCTTCCAGAATTTCCATGGAAGTTAGATGACGACAGCTTCTCGTGAAGGCGCTCATAAGAATGGGTAGGCACCGATATGGTCAGTTATCTAAAATCCTCGTGGAAACAGAACTCGTAATCAAATTATATGACCATCTGAAGTTATCACAATAAGGATAGTGAATGGTTTTTGGACAGAAAGTGACAGATTCAATAAGGAATTATGACCACACGAGCGGCTGATGCAAAATATTGAGATATGAAAAGACGGGTGAGACAACATCACTTCGTGAGATTAATTATGTTTGGCCGCCAACCCGTCCGAACACCTTCGAATCCAACATCAGTATGAATTTTACAAGGAATCATGACTGGACTGGCATTTTTCTATTTAGAGTATTCAATAACGCATTTTTGGGGTCATTTATACATTAGCTGTGATAGTGTACTCACTCCAAGAAGTATGAGTCAGGTGGAGATCAGAACTACCAGTTGGCAAAAATGGAAAAATATAAAAACTGCCATAAACTGCAGCGGCTAAGTTAAGTGACAAATTCACTGCGTCATCCTTTGCTAGAAAATTTCGAACTCAAATTGGTGTAATGTACGTGAGTGAATTTGACACTTGCAATTTGGTGTGAAGGCGATAAAGAGGAATCTACATGGATGAGGATTGGATCGACGCGATCCTTGAAACAGGCCAACATTAGGCTATTGAACGAACTCAATTTCAATCAATGGAAAAAAGTTTAGAACCGATTGAGGCATCAGTTTCAGAAGGGCTTGGTACATAATCAGTGGTTTTTATTGGGCGACGCTTCGCTTTTGACACAAAAAGCGTTGGTGTGTGGTTATCAAAAGTAGTCATCACCCGAAATGCACCTAACCTCACCCACTTTCTCTTCCCAAACTGAATTATCGTAATACTCACAAGTCCACGAAGACCAATGAAATCTACCAGTGACACTCCCGGCGAATCATCGATTGAAGCATCTTGAAGTGGGAGATTAAAGAACTAAACTCGATTAAACTAATTTGAAACTCCTCCACCGCATCAACCCAAGATTTTAGCGACCACAAAGCCGTCACTGGACACTGAAGACTGATCTAGTGCACTAATATGAAGATGTCTTACTGATTGGTCCTCTATCTGCCTTAAAATCTGGGTAACATGGTGATCTCCTCACTTAGCCTGGTGAAGCTTTTGTGTCAAAAGCAAAACGTTGATTAATAAAAGAAACTACCGATTGTTTACCAAACCCTTCCGAAACGACCTCGATTCCAGTTTCTATCTATGTTACCTGATGGAATGTATGGAGAAATCATCTCAGAATTCTCATTGTTGACCGATGGAGGCTCTTTACTTTCCTGAATTCGTTTCTCAAATCTTACTTCAACAAAGCCATAGCAGTTGCACTACAATGATAACGCGGATACCGATTTATTCTTTTCCCCACTTGCAAGGATATTCTGAAATACAAGACGCGAACGAAATTCCATAACATCGAGGGGCCAGTGGCTGAAATGTGTACCATGTTGAACTGTATCGTTTTCCGTAAGATAACTCAAAACTATCCTAGATATTATGAGGCTTGAGACGTACCAGAACAGCGCAATCCGGCACACTACTACGACTGACGACACTTGACCATACAACAGCAGGGGACAAACCCCGGAAGCTCTCATACGCGAGGCAGCCGAGGGGACGTAAATAAACAGTAATCGTATCTTCGAAAAGCCATGTACGGAACCGCACCAAACCAAAGAAGGGTGTGATGCATAGCCCTAGGCAGTAACCCGCTGCACTGTCTAGTAAGGTGTATAATTTAAGGAAAGCCATTATCGAGCTTAATGGAAGCAACTTACTGCGAGTTCATTCCTTAGTAGAAGGAATTGTTCAGCTATCTTTTTGTCCAAAGATACAGCTAGTTGTTCGAAAAGTTCACGCTCTGTGGGCGCAATCACAGAAGAATCTTGCAACAGCTCCCTGATCAGAGTTCGCCGGTTGAGTGGTATATAAGGGTTTCTATTTGCCGGAAAATCAAGCGGAAAATACATTCATACTTCAATACGAATGAACCAGAAGGAGGAGGATTGCGCAGTATCTCGAGCGTCTGTGTTCGACTGGCGGAATGGATGAAGTAATTCTGCCAAATGATTGTTTGGCGAGCAAACTGAAAGATCCTATCAGTCCGAGCAAGCGCTCGTCTGAAAATCATGTTCCAGTGGCATCAGAACGAAATGGTTAGTAAAAAATCGACGCGCTGAAGTGGCGCAACGTCCTGGTTTGAGCTGTGGACCGGAAAGGACAGTCGGAAGAGTAATCATTATAAGTAAATTCCCGCCACAGGCACTGAAGTGGTTGAACAAAAGGTAAAAGTCACACTATGAAATAACAGGTAGGAAAAACCAGTTCCAAGATGACAGCCAAACTGTTAGGGAACAGCCGGTCCACTCGCTGTTTCACACGCGTTTGTTAAAGAGTTAAGTATTCCTTTAAAGGACAAAAACTATAAGATTGGTGAAAACTCTTCGACTGATGAATCCAAAAGTGCGGATTCTTTAGTCTCATTTGAGTTGAACCTTGACATCCAAATTTGGTCTAACAGGTGACGGGTAAAATAATAACGATAATACCAATAGAAGCAACAGCTCTCCATCGCTGAAACACCACCCAACTCTTGAGTCCAAACTTCCAGCAATCGGTACTTACATCTTCGTGGGTCTCGTGCTATCATGGGCAGCGCAACTAGCTTCATTTGATTGCTGGATGCCGTAAGTAAGATAGGTCAAGACATTGGTTCCTCTGGTCAACATCATCGGTGTGGTAATATAATAGGGACCCAAATTCGTCTGGTACTTATTTTCAAGCCACTGGTCGTGGGTAAAAAGAGGCAGGACTCCACTATCTCACCCAGCAGTCTTTAGAGCATGTAGCGATGCTACCCAAATAATGTTACTTCTTTACCTTCCACCAGCCCGATGTTTTAAATGATCTCTCTTGTGAATCAGGTTATGGGCTTTGACATATGTGGTCATCATGACTCTGTTTTGCGGTGGTTGGGATAGAGTATTATTGCACCCCTTACCACACGCTCTCACTCGATTATCGGGTACGCAGAGGTGTTTACATTCGCGTTCTATGCAGCCGATAGCTTACTCTGATGTCGATTCTCTAGAAGCAAACTGTCTCATGATTTAGCGGGCCCCTTGCCTACTGACAGCACCATCGCAGACTTTGTGTAGGTCACATACTCCTCAGATGATACTACACTGATATTCAGCTTCTTACCGGTGTGCAGTCTGTATGGCCGTGGCCGGAAATATTAGACAGCCATGAATTTAATCGTCCATGAGGTTCAATATCCTCGCTACATCTAGTTTTGCAGGCCACTTTTAATTGGACAGTGCGAAAAACCACTAAACGTTTTCGTGGGTGATTGGCGACAAGCTTGGTGCAGGCATATGGACCAGTTGCCGATTGTGTTTAGTTTTAAAAAACTTTTCCCATCCGCTTGCAATATTGCTAGGACGCATTGGAGGTTCGTATAAGGGCTGGTGGCAATGTGGGACGTATCAGTCACCGGCTCAATTAAACCTCTCCTAGAACGCCGCAGTCAACCAGTTTTTACTCATTCTGAAGTTCTTTGCGAATGAATGAACTCCACACGACTTCGGCCGGTTAATTTCTCCTCCCGTGTCTCCCCCAGGCACCCTTCGCGGGCTGTATGGACGAGTTGCGTGTGTCAAGGCACTGAATCGTCCTGTCAGCATTCTTTACAATTTTGGCCCACAGAATAAAGTATGTTTAACTGAGCAAAATACACTCACTTGCAAACAAATTTGATTTTTCAGCTAAGTTCCAGGCGGGTCTTTCGAAAAATCAAATATGTTTGCAAATGACTATATTTCGCTAATTTCGTGCAATTCGATTTCAAGCAGAACGGAAGGTTGACGGACGGGGACTGCACCCACATGATGGGACCCTAGAAGGGCGAAACTGGTCGTGGGCTGTAGAATAATGCATTAGGAATATGTTGAATTGATTCTCGACTCGGCGGACCACCCTATCATGGTGCCGTCTTGATAGCCAGGAAGTCCGCCTGGGCAAATAAGGGGTTCAGCAACTCCAGACAAGGCCGATCACCCTGTCTGCTTTTAAAGTACTCGTTACTTCTACAGTGAACAGTATGATCCAGCTGGTGCCTCTACACTAGTTCTGACTAGTACACAGAACTCGTGGGGTTCACGTGGGAGTGGGCTTGGTAGCCGACCGCTGAATTCACGTCTATGAAAGTGCGGGCGTAAAGGTGATAGCCCAGTTGACCAATGCTGATTGTTCCTACCGGATTCCAAACAAAATTGTCCTGAGTCAACACTGCCGACACGGGTACCCCGCTCAGCATAATGCGGATAATCTTGGTCGACTGGCGATTCCAGTGCTCGCTGCTTCCAACAACAGTCACAACCACTCCTGCGCCCGGGTAACAAGTTATATTCGTACTGTGATACGCTAACCACGACTGGAACAACATTTTCCTGGTCAACCGGCCGTCAGTATAAAGACCACTCCATGTGTGCTTACCTGGCAAGCATATCAATACGAATCGTCAACTAGTGGCCCAGACCAAACCATCGGTCAAACGACCCTACATTCGTCCACCTATGTGTCCCATACTAACTGGTTCAAACCGTGGGTTGCATTTGTACTTGCACTTTTAAAATCCGAATCTGAGAGTTCGCCCGCTCGTCTGGAGCTTCTAAATTTAGCCCGACAGTTGCAACCTGGTATCACGACACCGGAGAAAATCCTGTTGCTACTGAACCTCCAAGCATCCTGAACATTTCAAAAAAAAGTGTAAACCTGTCTCTCGATACCGTCGCTGGCAAACCTATAATGTGACGGCCAACCGACCACGCCACCACCCAGGCCTTATACAACCAGATGTGGAAAAGGGCAGTGTCTGCTATGCTCAATGGGTCAGGGTCTATCCTTGGAAGCCGAACATTGCTGGATACATGTGCTCTATGCTCCAAAACACGTCAATAGCCGGTTAAACTGCATAATGTTATCATCGTATAGGAGTTCGATCGATCCAACTGTAAGAGAGGCTGGCAGAACGATAAGCAATACGTCTCCAGTTTTAGGCAAGCTCACTCGAAACGCATCGCCGGTTGAGTGTCAATGTTTTTTGCAGTATTTTAACTCGCTGTTATCTTGAGTTGTCCATGGCATGTGTCGTGCCCGGGCTGCTATAATTCCGACGACCCCCAGTAATACTTCACCAGACCAACTGAGACCAATTTACGTGTCATCTATTCGTGTTCGATACTTGGATAGAGTGATGGCTGACCGATGGAAATCATAGAGTGTACTTATACATCGAGATAATTATTCAGAAGCGACATCGCCAGTACAAGACTTGCTTCAGTTGAGTGAATACCTCTAATCTGACTGACGTTTGATGAGGACTCGAAGAAGTTTGAGTGAGCTTCGCATGACACGAATATCAGACTTTTCTAGGCTTGTGGTGGATAGTTCGATAGATGGTGTGGTCTTATGAGAATGTTGTAGGAGTCTTCCGTGATTCGGAGGTTCACTGTCGCGAAGGAGTGAGGTAGAGAAATCCATTCACCAAATGGTGGATAAAGTTCTTGGATTGTCGATGCCACAAGTGGGCTACCAGCTGATGGTTACGCTCTCGTTGGCGACTGGATGGTGTGTACAGAAAGTCAGAACCACATTAGGCAGAAGCTTGAAGCAACTGAGGTTGAGCTGGGAAGAGCTGTATTACGCCCTAATGACAAAAGCCATGGTTATTTGTGGGGACAGGAAAAATCGGGAGACCGCGGGTTCCGCCGAGCAACTTGGCTTTACCGAGAAACTCGCCAATTCTTTGGGTCCAACGTATACCGTGATTTCTTTTGGCGTCCCCTTCACTTTGATGCTGAAAAAAGCCTGCAACCACCGATAGCAACTGCTCAATCATCATCATCACCAGCTGCAAAAACCATATTACAGTAGTTATAGCCGCCACAGTTCCGTTGGTCTATGATTTTAGGAAGATGGGAGTGATAGCTACACACTGAAAACGGTTGCCAATATGATTATTGCATAAATACATGGGTGTCAGTGAACTTTTCATTGGAAGGCCGGAAGGGGAGCTATGCATTGAAGGCAACGGCCGCGACGCATAAGCACCACTGAAAGGCGCGACCGAGCCATATCTAATAACGTCACTGCGTGGAGTTCCCCGTCCAGGTAGAATGCAATGACCAGCACAATTGAGCTTGCTGGTAATGGCTTCCCTGTCAAGTCACTGTCTGACTATTCTAGGCTCGCTTCCACCCTTCTCGTGGTTTGTGCAAAAAGAAACCTTCGAGAAAGTTAGTTGAGTGGCATATGGAGCGTGTGACCAAGCCGTCGCAACCTGTGGAGTGTGATCAGTTCATCAATTGTGGACGAGTTATTTCATCTGAGAACCATTCGACGTACTTCAACACTACAACACAAGACTAGTCCAATGCTCCAAAGATACTGACAGTCAAACACTGAAGTTTTTTGGAGTTCTCAGCGCAAAGCGTCCGTGTTTCCGATCAGTATACCAAGCCGTCCTGTGGAGTGTGATCAGTTCATCAATTGTGGACGAGTTATTTCATCTGAGAACCATTCGACGTACTTCAACACTACAACACAAGACTAGTCCAATGCTCCAAAGATACTGACAGTCAAACACTGAAGTTTTTTGGAGTTCTCAGCGCAAAGCGTCCGTGTTTCCGATCAGTATTACAATAGGGGGCGCACCGGAGGACTGTAACGCGACTCTTGACAGATAAGCTGGCGCCACGCTACAAGCGGTCCAGGTTTACGAAGTCTGTTGTGGTCTTCCCAATCCAGGTGGAAATATCACCTTTGGTCAGATCGCCGAGACTGATACAATCGCCCAGTAGATAGATTTGTCTATTAGCTCCACGGTCTCGTCCGCAAGCATGAGGTTAGGGTTCGAGCCCACTCATTCTTGTAGATGCGAAGCGCAGGCCAAACCGCGAGGCGGAATTATTCATGTTACTTAATGTTGTCTGCACTACAATGGCGTCAGATCCAGGAAGAGGTATGTCGTCTGCATGGCCCATCCAATTGAGCAAATGCCCTGGGAGCATTTCTATTCCAAAGGCATTAGAGGCTGTGAGTGAGCATTCCATAATCATGTCAATTAAGAGGTTGAGGAGGAAAGGCGGAGGACACCACTTGATACAGCGAACTCGGCCGAGAGCTTCCCGTAGACCTTCACGCGTCCAAAGAGCACATTCGACGTCACACCTTTCAGGTTAATACCACGGTGTTTTTGTCATAGCCCGCGTGACCGTTTTGAAGACAGGAACAATAATAATAATAATAATAATAATAATAATAATAATA